CTGCTTTTCAACTGTCGTCCTTTTTTTCAGCTGATAATGGCTTTGTGCATATTATTTCGTCGCTCTCAATGCGAAGTGAACTGGTTAGTTGAAGGTTTCGATACCATGATGCCAAATCACTTTTTTTTTCTTTGATTTTGAGCTATACTTTTTCTGAACCTATTTGATGACCTTCACTATGTGATAACATATCACTTAGCACTCGCCAACTTGGCTAAAATAAGACAAACGTAAAGTAGTTCACGGCTTTCGACGCGAACAAACCAAAGTCCATCTTAATGCGTACTTTAGTCCCAGAAAATGAACTTTGCAAAACTCGGCTTCAGGTACACTTCAGGTTGTCTAGCGGTTTCAAGACACAAATGGCAGTCAGTTGTATTTATTTTCAATACAAAAAGGTCGATTTCCTTAATTTGATCTTAATCTCAATTTAAGTTCATGTAAGTCATCAATGTAAGTCATCTTGCATGGAAATCCGTTAAAGGATATTTGAGAGAGAGAGAGAGAGAGAGAGAGAAATGGGGGGTAAAGAAATTAGCAAAATCTCTGCAACTACAAAATAAGCAGGAGATAAAGCATGACATCGCTCAAACGAAACGCGCTACAGAAGCTCCCTCAGACGACGGTCTATGGGAGAAAGAAATGGTTAAATTACATGATCAACAGGGAGGAAGACGCGCACTGAGAGCGGCACCGCCATGATTTAAACAGAGGGATTTCCATTATCTTGTGACGCAGGCTTCGTGTTGGACCAAGTGTCAGAATTTTTTCATTGCTCAGCAACCATAACTGCTCTATGGCGACACGGATAGTGTGCGAACAGTGCCATACTGCTAATGCGACGCAGAAACTTTCATTTGTATAAATAAGCCTCTACTGCTACAAACAAAACAGGCGAGCCTGTAACGATAAAGCGGAAAGTAGCCGGTGCAACGGGCCTCAAAACGTGTCATAAAGATATCCTGTTTAGACAAGCAGAAAGGGATCTAGGTCTGGTACTGTTTCGAAACAAGATCTCAAAATTGTGCCATAAGTGACTCGAACCACGTAAAAATTTATCTACAATTCTCCTATTGGAGATAGAGCCGTTGCTCGCGCTTGCTTCCTGACGTAATTATCATCACATACTTGGGTAAGTTATATATAGACGCGCACACAGCGAGTGGTGAGTTCGAGTCTGACACAATAAAATCACTCGTTCCCCTAACCCGAGTCCCCCCAGTTATCCGATCCGATGCAACTAGGAGCTGCTACAAAGTCAAAAAAGGATCTACAAAAGAACAACGAAAAAAAATAAAAGCATAAAAACCACTTATAAACGTGGACCAGTTCACTTGCATGGCCCATAGCAGCGAGTAGGAGATTTACAATCTACTGCTATTACTACTAGTCTAAGATAATATAAAACCTATATATATATGGTGGCTTTAGTGGCAGTAGCTGCCGGTAGCGATACGATAACAAAAAAAGCTCTGACAGAAATCGTGCTCTCGTCACTGGTAGCTGTCGTTTTGTTACTGCTACTACCGTTGTTTTTTCTAGAGGCAGTATTGACAAAAGCATTTAATTCTGGTAAAAAGAAAAACTAGCCTCCAATAAATACCTGCAAGCTTATAATCTTCAATTCATCGCGACGGTAAGGTAAAAGCGCGTAATATGAAATGATAAAGCACAGGCAATGAATGACCACTAGGAGCGTTATCGAAACGTTTCTAATAAGACATAAGCAAGGAATAACTATCACACACAAGATCGCTTCATGACTTCAACCGGAGATTCAAGAGAGAGAGAGAAATGCTGCCGGCTACTTCATTTACGTTCGATTGCGTCACACATATGAATAAGTGCGTCTGACCAGCGTGAGGAGCGTCAAAATTGACCAGCGACTCGAGTTTCAACAAGCCCCACATTAATACGTATAGAATCTATCAATAGATATTGCTCAATCTGCTGATCGGCCCTTGACGTTTGTATTCATTAAGTGAGATGTCAAAGGCAACATTCGTCGGATGTTTCACACTCGATTCATACCGATTTGGAAAATATTAAATATTAGCTTAATTTCGAATTATTCGATTTTATTCCCGTTTCACTATTTTTTTTTTTACTTCTTAGCCTATTAACAAAGTCACTGGAAACTATATTCATGTGCATTGTGTATTAATCAAGTATTATGCTGCATTAAATCTATTGCCTCATGCGTGTACACACGCACACCTGTTCAGATCACAGCCAGTCGAAACAACTATATCGTTTATATCGTGAACTAGACTAGCTGGTTCGTACTTGATCGGCCAGATCAGCGGCGCCCAAACCCGCTGTCCACAGAACGTACTCCGTGATCTGGAGCTTGGCGATTGGCAATGCGTTGGTCGTAAATCAGCTAGCCAGATGTTCAGCCACTTCGACCGCCATTCGTCTATTTTTCTTGTTGATACCCGAGACTCCAGCATCGCACGTCTAATTGAGCCGATTACAAGCGGACGGCAGGAGAGACCACGTTTCGGTAACAAAAAAATCGTAACATTTCTTTGTCATATTGCTGATGCTTGCTGTGCCGTAGTGGTAGCAACAGATGTCTTACATACATTGGCTTAACATCATGCGGCTGCTGGTTCCCTGAATGTTCGCAGCAGTCATTGATGATGGCGGTGACGGCGTGTCGCTAAAGCCGCAGAGGGTTAGAAGTAGCCCGGGGAATAGGTAGCTGAATCTATATGCATCTGCAGCAGATGGCTCGTTCGTAGTCTGCTGAGAGAAATTAGAGGATATTTTTGTGGTACAGTTGAAATCGCATCCATCGTGCCAGGACAATGAGATTTACGGACAGTCATACGATTGATTGGCCGCGATTAATTACGCTTTTGTTCGGTGCAACGCTAACGTGTTTTTTTTCATTTTTTGACGGCCCTTTATATCGAAACGAGATGTATCCATGATAATCGAGTTCATTCAATTCTTAGACATATGAAATACGTTTACTAGTACTGCAAGTTAACAGTTACTAGCGCTAGTTGCTACGCCTAGCAGAACTTTGTTCCTTGCGAACAAAGCGTATGTAGCAACCCCCGGAGTCTATCGTCAGTTCATTTATCATACGTACTTATGAACTAGGAAACATTTCCCATCTGGGCTCATAAGTGAAGCTTCTTAATGAAATCGATGGACCGCAAACTTCAGCGTACTACCCCAATGGTTTCCGATAGAAATACTATTCCTGACTAGTGATTTTGCTGCTGTTGTCACCACTTGCGGTTAGGGCTTGCCTATCTACATGTAAGATCAATGCGACCACACGGTCGTATGTACTGTCTTCTACATTTACAACGGTCACCGAGGCTCTTCATTGTCCTCACGGAAAGGTGAGAGGAGTGATTACCACCGATCGATCGTTGCGCTATAATTTAACGTCAGGATTTATCACTCACTTTTTGTTGTTTGCGTGTTCACCCGTCTCCATCATATCGTGGCAGCGAGCTGCGTCGGGACAACGATTGCCAGTGTCATCGACGAAGATAGTAGTTGTGAGGGCGGCCATTACAACTAGGACTGCCGCAGCGGCAGACTGACAGCATCGAGTCAATTGCGTCTCAAGCCGCGGTTCCAGAAATAGATACGATGAGCCAAAATGGATGGCCATAAAATCATACGTGTGCAAGTCCATGGCCTGTCCCACACCAGAAACGACTGCACAAAATCGTTACACAACGCGTCGCAGTGCTCCCTTCGGGCGTAATCCCCAGCTGACCTTAACGGTTATTGTTACTGCCAGCGTATAGCCTATGCTGTGACGCCTGTTGTAATTTATGTTGTAAACACTCTTATTGACAGCGTTGGAGCCACACGTTTCTGCGACAGTCTGAAAAGCTCGCGTCTCCTAACAACATATTAATGAGTTTAGCTTAGCGCACCCATTATAGATCACCCCCGTCAGACGCACAGCAAAAATGGAAGGAGATCACTTATGCACCCCTGTAACAAGCAAAGCAGCAGCGGCGGCAGCAGCGACGTCTGTAATAGTGGAGCGCGCCATAATGGTTCGACGTGAGACGGTCGGGACCAGCAGACAACGGCAGTGCCACAGCATTCCGCAGAAGGGAAAAAGTTCCGGAAAAACGTCGCGATATCAATGTCAGCAGCTGATTAAAAAATTATAGAACCGTTGCTATTTTGCGGTCACGCGAACATCGTCGTCATAACAACCACCATGATGACAATGATATATAATTGTTAACCTGGCAATGTTAATTGGTTCCACCTTGAGCAGATGACAAGCAGACTCGAACATGTCCACGTAAATGATGAGCGATCAGACCTAGTCATTAACATAACTAATCCAAAGCTGTTGTTGATGGATTCACCAATCGGTCGTAACCTCATTGTCCATCCAGCTCTTGCCTTTTTTTTGGGTGTTATTTCGGCTTTTTTCAAGCTCCTCTTATTTAGTTTTTCCTGCGCGACAGATAGCTGGATCCAAGGACTCTGTGAACAATTACTTCCGAGTCAGCTGGAAGAGCTTCGCGTATGGACGCCATCAGGTAGACAAAACACTGCTACTTTCAGCTCAAACTAGATAACGCACTCAGCTTCACGACAGATGTTGCCCAGTGTTTCGAGGAATGGTCGATCTGTCAACTGCCGGTACAGATTCAACAGTGATGCTTATTCTTCTCTGCTAGGACCATGGCGCCTATGTATTTAGCGCTTCGGTATACAGTAATCGTGCTGGATTCAGATCAATTTAGCTTCTTCACCTCTATCAGTGAAAAACCCTACCTAAAATGACTACCTACTTATGCTGGTTTGTTTACCGTTGATTAAGTTTACAACTCTCTATTTCTATTGTTATGACTATTGTTCATTATATTACACGAAGGAAACCATACGCTCGCTATGGTACCCGTGATTATTTTTGGAGATAAATTTATCTTGAATCAATTTTATGATTCACAGACACATCTTGCCCGCTATAAAGTGGCCATTGACTTGATATGTTCCACAGTATACTTGCCTTGTTTCTTTCTAATCGGCCCTAGTCGCGAATCTTTTTTGCTTTCCAGTCCATTTTCAACATTGTTTGTCCCGTAGCTTTACCACAACTCATTGATACCTTAGCAGCTATTTAAAAGTCTAACTAAAAGGTCCTAACAGAAAGAGTCTGACGTTGACGTTCCACAATACAATGCTTAATCCGGAACACCGGCGAATGAGGAATTCCAATGCGTCAGCCATTTCGTCACCGTCGATTTGCGCAAGTATGTAGAAAGGTAATGACAATTTTTATATACTCTTACAGTATTTTATATACAAAACTAGAATGTGATAGTGTGTAATGTATTTCATTTAAAATATATCTAACAAGAGCGGTTAATAAATACTGCGCCATCTATAATGTTTGGTCGGGCTCCTTCCTTGCTTGTAACCCGTCGCAAACCTCTATACACGTTCCTTATCGCTCGTAGATGACTGGACTATCTAATAATTCAATTGTCACGGCTCAGACATCGAAAGCACGGGACGACGTCCATCTCGTTTCTCATTCCGTTTGCTATTCTGCTCTGCGTTAAAAATGTTTCCTCCTGGGGGCAGAGGGTTGTTTTCATAAATTCAAATCAAGCTTGTCTGGAAGGCATCTTTGAAAAAATTGACATTGTCTTTGGTTCTTTCTCTTACCATTCTGCAACGCCGTAGACGAGTCTAAATAAAATGTATCGATTGTTATCGAGTTTTGATCATAAAGTTGCCGCCGTTGTTGCGGCACTATTTGACTCTGTATCTTCTTCTATCAATACAGTGTGCGTCTCTTTAGTCAAGCTGAGATAGGCACTTCAGCTATAGTGAAGGCAGTCGTCTGGGACCTTCGACTAACTTCCTTTTCGTTTCTTAGCGCACCGTTGCCTGCAGCTTGATGCGATGTCCCGCAACACGGTGCTTATATAGAACGATTACATTTTATGCGTGCGACTGGCATGAAACTGACTGCGTACGTGAATGAAGGCGTGGACGGTGGCATTTAATAACGGGTTGTCCAGTCGTCGCTCTGTGTTCGCACATTGCTCACGTCCGTTTTGTACCGTTCTGAATGGAATTGTTTGATCGTGTGTCGCGGATTGCAGTCGATCGTCCGCCAACGGCGCTTTCTAGAGAGATGCGCGACGACGAGGAGTAGGCGGAGGAGGTAGCTGAGCTAGCGATAAATAATAATAGTAATAGTAATAATTTATTACTTGCCGAATATATGAGACCGTCTGGCTCTTCTTTTCTTCGCCTCTGTTGCACGCTGTCCTATACGCCGACCGCTCTTCTGTTCGTTGCATATTGCTATCTCTGAGCGGCAATTAGTTGATGGCCACCACAGGAAAAGTCCTCCATGTTGAAAGTTGCATAGTTATTTGTTGTTTCGTCTGTCCGCGAGCCAAATGTACGGCCTGCCGGTCCACGGCCACGAGCACAGCTTCGTCTGACCGAAGGTCGGTATCGAAATTACAGTTACTTTATCAATTATTCATTCCCTACCATGGATCACGGATGGGAGGACCCAGTTATTGTTGTTGTTGCTGCTGCTGGACGGCCGCGTCCATCAAACAAATCTCTCCGAGGTCTGCCCATGATACAATCTTACGAAGGAATCTCTGTGTGACAAAGAAGGACTTTATTGTGTCGGTTACAGCCGGGCCAACGCAAATGAAGCCTTCATGAAATGAGTATACAATTGTGCCTATATAAGCATTCGTGTGAATGTGAGATTAATAAGGCTCTTGATTGTCAGTAGCGCTAAGGTCATTTATGAGGTACACTAAGTATTTATGCAACATATTATTAACCGATTTGCAAAAAACTGCTGGCAAAAAAATTGAATCAATGCATAATGATTGCCAAAAGTGTTATAATACTTGAATGGATCGTTTATTTGAGAACAATATCAAATAAGATTTCTAAAACTAAAAAAAATTATATATATATATATATATATATATATATATATATATATATATACATAGTTTATCCCCTAGTCACAACTCAACTGGAAGAAGTAAAACGTTCAAAGAAATTCAGTAGACTATACGTGCAGTTTATAGATATACAATAAACACTAACACAGTTATAGAGCATCGTTTTGGTATGGAGTGCGCAATGATATTAAATGGAGCCATTTACCAGATAGAAGGACTTGAATAACTTTTAAAATGTAAGGTAATGCACGCACATTATATACGCTTTTCGTTGTTTACCCGTTTAATGCCTGCGCCCTGAGAGCTTTTCGATAGTTATGAGCTGGTGATTTGTATTGTCCTACTTAATTTCGTTATCGCTGGCTACTTTAGAGGATCTACGATAAACATGTTCTGCCGCCTTGCGACACCCTCTTAAGACCTGAAAGTGATTAGAAACAAATGAATTCAGTAATGAAGAATATAAAGAGACGTCTGTGCGTGCGCTATCGATTTCGGCGTTATACATCAGACGGCTCGCTCGCAGAACGAAGCGAACTATGTGTACGCTCGGTCCCGAGCCTCGACCAACTCTCTACCAAACCGCTAATCTATCTGAAAGCACTGTTCGCTTTTTCGTAATGAAGTCTGCTCCTAATATACAATGTAAACGTAACGTCCTAATCTATTCGGCATCGCTATCTTTCATATTTAACGCCATATCCATTCGCCCGATCCTTTTCCGGTAGGTGACATAAAGCGACCGATGTCTTGTCTATCATAACGGGGCGCTCCAAGATGGCGTTCAGCGAGCAGTACTTCTACAAATTATTTCGAAAGTACAACATACGTATTTCTACCGATTCTGCATTTAGTTCATGCGCAATGTGTTTTTTGTTACAATTTCCCAGTCCGTACGTCGAGGGATAAGCAGGGTAAACTACTGGTTTAAAATAGTATACATCAATGCCGAAAGGGGCTCCTGTTTTACTCAGAAGCTTACGTCACCATAGCAACTCGTTATTCCGTTTGAGGGCTCAAAGTGTAGTCATTTGCCAAATTTCGTTCTTTAAATTATTGCACCGATAACAAAACTGTTGTTTCGCTGAAGGTCTCCTTGCTGAGATGAACCTTTCCGTATGTGACTTCAGCCTCACTCGCTCCTCACCTTCTGTGCTCCTCCTGCCTGCCTGCCTGCCTGCCTGCGTGCCGGCCTCCCTCTCAGAACAACAACAACATGGTCGTCGGACCACTTAACATTATCATATACAGTGCATATCCACGGTCAACGTCGCCATCAACGTGATACGACAGCGCTGTCTGTATAATAATTATCATAAAATAACAAAGATATGGTTATATCCATATTCTATTGACTCTGGACCTGCGTCACATCGTTATAAAACGCTGGTCGGAGCAGGCCTAGCGTATCGACTAATAGGACTCGACATTGCTCCTTTTGCTCGTTTATAGATGATCTTGCTGCTGTTGTCGTCGCCGTCGCCGTCGTCGCCGTCGTCGTCGTCGTTCGTCTATGTTAACGCGGTTGAATCCGATGTTGTGTTGGATGTAATATGCATTTTCTAATCTACTTAAAGCCGCACGTCGAGAAAACAGCGCTTGTAATCGTAAGTAGTCAACCAAGCACAAAGAAAGGAGATGGTTACCTGTATTTTCTGAAGAAGAACGATCTATTTACAAAAATTGCCGTATAGTCAGCGCGGTAGACCAGTGTATAGTAGAAGTACTATATCGGAAGACTTTATAATTCTTTTAATTACTGTGCAGGAGTCTGCCTGCCTGCCTGCCTGCCTGTTGTTTTTTTTTCATTAGCAGTTATCTCCATTAAATTTCGTCATAATAGTCGGAAGTACTACTACCGATCTAGATTTGTTTTGCATCGAAAGGCTGGAACCTTTCAGGCCTTTCCCACATTTCGCCTCTAGAAATACACGTGCAGACGCGCGTGTAAGTAAACTGGTACCAAATTAACTCGAACAAACGCTTGATAATTTTCGATGGTTCGATAATTCACAGAGTGAAACAAAATGTTTTCGGCTATTCAACGATAATTCAATGGGGCATTTTTTCCCCCCAAAATTCAAACCTTTTTAGCTAACGTCAATCCTCAAGTATTTCTTCACGTCTAGTATTATAGTATAGTAGTCATACGCTATATAAAATGCGCTCTCACGTCATAGTTCTGTGTCGAAAAATGACAGATGTCGCGTATAACAAGGAGTTACTATGAAGTCAATATCCTTCTTCATGCCTGCGCATTTGCGTTTTCGTCGGTTATTTGTCGAAGCGTCTGATACAGTTGTACCATTTGTTCTTCTAACCGATTCTTCGCCGCGTGCCCTACGAAGTTCCTGTGAGGCCTCTGATTTCTTCTTCTTTCTCGTTCCAGACCCGTCTGAAAAAAGCTCATCCTATGATTTCCTATGGAGGGAGCTGCAAGTTAAAAGTAAAAAATGAACGGTATAAGTGAATGGCCATTCTCGCCTAGGGGAAAAGTCTGGCAAATTGGCCAGCTTTCGTGTATCCTTGAACAGGCCAGACATCGTATATCATATAGTTAGCGCTCACAAATCGCGCCCGAAGTATCTAGCATGCAAGGTGCCACTTGGATACTAACCCGTGACAGAGTCAAATAAACAATCAGTAAATAGCTACAAGACCTCACCAACGGATCCGTTCAGATATATAGATGCAGGTACAACGGTACACGTTATTCAGCTACCGCTATATATACATATATATATGGAAGTGGCATAGGTGGCGTAACAGCCACTGTTGTACCGTGGTCGCGGAATAAAAATAACGATAGAAACCGACACGTGAGGGTAAAAAACGCGGACGGTGCCGTGGTCACTATTGAGGTCGTTTTTTTTTTCGTTGTGTTGCCATCGCTGTTGCGCCCACGGAATTAAGCATCATCTCCGGTAGCGTTCTTTTCATATATTGTTACAAATGAAAATGTTATAAAATTTGTAATAACTTCGTCGATTGGAGAAACAGTGGCACGATAAACGGCCCATAGCGTTTGGCCGATAAACGAGAACAAAGATATGTGTTACACTGAGAACTAAGAACCAAGGATGATGGCGGACAGATTCAGACGGCAAACAGGAGACACCAGAATCGCTATCCGTTCTCTCTGTATTTCCATCAACATTGTCATTATGCAGTTCACTAAAAACGAGATATAGCTCGCTCAAAGCTGAAGGGTCCCGTTTACAACTAAAACAATGCCGAATGAGCGAGAGAAAGATGCAAGTCTAAAACTCTACTGTAATAGTAATGATAATGTCCAGCAGCAGTTTTAATGGCGTCGAGCGTAGCACAAACCACATAGAACTTCGTCGGATTAAAGGGGTTAACTTGAATTAACTTGCGGTATCGCTTTATAGGCCTATTGGTTTTATTAGACTGCCTGGTGTCTACCTTTACGAAGACGGATAGCTAAAGACAAAGAACACACTACTAAAGCTCTCGTGCGTTCCTTTATCTGCTGCCATCATAGCCACTAGTGGTACTTCGGAGTAGCATAAAATGAGCAGAAGAGGCTAAAGAAATTAGGTAAAATGTTGTGGGGTTACGGTCGTGGAGTGCCGTATAACAGAAGGTAATCATGACGCAACGATCGGCGCTAGAAACGACATTGTTACTATCAGATGCAATAACACACGCGAAGCACCGTCTTTGTTGTTACGTTATTTTTATTACACAGGCTACATCTTATTCGAATATAATATAATAGTTTAGCTGTCACCTATTATCTATTTATATGTAGCACGATAATTATGATATGTATAAATGAGGGAAGCCAGTGAGGGATTGGGAGGAAAAAGACTCAGTGAATGACCTATTATCATACACATGGATTCAAAATACAGATTATGTGTATACGTATACTGTGCAACATTCTGACCTTGTGTATAACTACACGCTCTTGATATGTTGCAACAATAATTTCGTGGTGGCAATGCCACTAATGACGATATGATATAATAGTTGCAACAGGGACGATGACGACGACCCTGATGATGGACGAAGTTACCATCCATCCCAAGTGTACCCATACTGTATCGGAATATCGCGTCACGTTTATTCGGCGGCGGCGGCGGCGGCTGCTGTTTAGGGCTATGTTGCTACCTTGATGACTCTGATGATGATAAGTAACAGCTTCCAGCTACTGCCCGAACAGGCCGAACTACAGATTAACTTGACCCTGTTCACGGTTTTTGCGGCGAATATGATAGGTTACGTAGACGTTAGAAGTGCTATAAAATGCAGTTAACGATAGCATTTTGCTGTGGAGTCAGGAATTACGATGACATTGTCAGGATACAAAACGACCGATATACAGTGCTACGAACTCCGGCCACCTTCGTACTGAAGGAGTCGTTGTTTCCATGTTTGCATTGATACGCAAACAAACCGACACTCAAATCGGCTAAAATCTTCCCCATTTACGCTATAGAGAGCAGAGAAATATAGAGACGATCGCGTCTTCATGAGGACAATTTTAATCCCGTTCTGTATTTTTGTTTACGCGCCAAGGACGGTGACGACCCGTTAATTTCTGGCTCACTTATGATAACACGGGGAATATTGCAACTTTCCGGTATAAAAAAAAAAAACGCCTTTTTTTCAGCTTTGTCTGCAGTATCTGTTTTGTATAAAATGGTATAATGTGTTAAGTGCTCGTCTTTAAGCAATATTTTCTATAATAGGATAGTACATAGTACATAGTACAACAGTTGCTGAGACCATTATAAAAGTGTTTTCTATTTAGTTGATTTAATTTGATTATTACGTTAGTCGACATATGCGGGCAGTGAAATCGGCCTATATTTTTATAGGACCAAACTGCGTATACGTCGTACGTTGAACACTTCATTACGTATCGCATATAGGAAACTCAGACCATAACCCCGTTCATAGATATAGCTGCTCATACACCACGTATAAGTCCAACTGTCGCTATGGTTTCAGCTGAAATGGAACATATGCTGGCTTACGCTTTTTTGGTCCGAATTCGATTTTTTTGGTAAGGTAAGCTTTTTACCGTTAGTGATTGCCCCACGGCTGAGCTTGCACACTTTGCCGTTCCAAGGAGGAGGCGACAGAAAGCAAATGCCATCAATATTTCAGGAGAAGTGTCATCAGAGCCGTTGCGGGAATTCCTATGGTAAATCTTCGATTATATTTTTTTTGCTTCTGAAGGTGAGGCTTTTACAAAAGACAATCGCATCGAGGTTTGTAAAAAATAGCATTTGCACTATATATA